GTAGATCAACGAGGTAGATGCACGGTAAAAGAAGAAACCCCGCCACATTGGTGGATCGCAGCTTATTTCTGTCTCGCACTTAAAGACACATTCAGTGTCGATAATGGAATGGGCGGAGACTTATAACCCTTACGTCTTTAGAAAAGGCGCTAGATGCTCGTGTTGTAAGGCGATGCCTCACCTATTGCCCCATGGTACGCCCACGGCACGTCCTATCGTAAGGGGAACGTTTTGAAAATCAAAACCATTAAATTTCCTTTTTCTGGTACGTGGTTTCTGGTCTTTCGGGTACATCCCTCTCCCCTACCATCCTACCTATCATCTTAAAAAGGCTAGATACTACATCAGATTACCGTAAGCAGTCGCAGTATTACAGCTGAGCAGCGCAATGCGATTCTCTGCAGAAACAGATGTGTTTTGCATAATATAACTCGCGGACCATGTGAAGGTAATAAACACCTGCTCCGCAAATTATTTCCAGTGCCCACGCGAGTCGTTCGCATTCTTCATTGTGCTCATAGGTTTTGCTAACGTATAGTCGTTGCTAACTTTCAACCTTTTTACCTAGAACGCTGTAGTAGAGTTTAAAAGGTGGGGATGAACTAGCGTGAGAGTAGACTTATCGTCATGCCCCCTTCCCCGGAGCACCCCACCCTGACCCCATGTGTTAAGCGCTTATTGAACTCTAGAACGATAGTGTAGCACTCAGTTTTCCCAACGCCAGCTAGATCCTCGTCTTGATCAGTTGTTGGAGCTAATCAAGAGGATAAAGCTTCCGTCGTTGATCAATCTCTTTCCGGAATACGGCACGCATACTGCTTCGATTCAAAGTCATGGTGGCTTATTGAGTGCAAAATGGCCTAAAAATGACTTCTCGAGGCTAGCCGATGTACAAGTCAGTGTTCTTATCCTCCCAGACGAATCTGGTACCAATTATACCGTCGCCGGTGGGAAGGAAGCTTGATTGGGCTAGGCGGGAGCCGATCCGGGATTTAACCCCAGACCACCGCATAGTGACCGGACCACTTGTCACAACACCATCTCCAGCTCACCTCATGTTAATTAATAATCAGCATGTAGGGGAAATGGGAAAAGGAAGGAGTAATGAAATGATCTACGATTTTTCAGGGTCAGGAGAGAATGAGCAGCAAAGGAATTCCAAAGTATCGCGTGAATCGAGAACATCGGTAACATCGAACGAAGTCACGCAACTCACTAACATCATGTCACCTAACACCTACTCTTCTCCCAGGGTGAGATTTTTTCACACATCACGAATTTCTAGCAGATCGCATGCACAGGAATTGAGCAGAGCCCTATCATATTTTGAAAAGGGGGAGGACGAGGCAGCAGAACCTCTGAAGACACACTGTACGCTCTAGGAGTTGCGTTCCAGCCCGCCTTTTCCAGGTGGATAAGTCGACAGCTGTAGAGAGGCATTATCGTCGCATAGTTGAATGTTCTTTTGTAATTACACCTGCAGGCAAAGACGCCACAGACACGCACTACGCCGTACAATCAGCTGCAAGCGTAGCCGTAGCCGAACGCGCCAATTGTCTGTACCCTCTCACGTTAGGTTCAGGCGCCGCCGCTCTGTATAGCATGCCGCGCGGTGGAAGGGGGGGGGGGGCAAGGAGCGGCCGCCGCTAGCGTGCGGAAAACACACCCACACCACGCGCATTACGTGGGGAGCAGTGGACGGGAGCGTCAAAGAACATTCGGCTATCGCAACCCTTAGGCTTCGCTGCCGAGCTTTTCCAAGTGGTGAGGTAGTACCGTTTTGCAGTTGGATCTGCACACCTCTTCCAGGTTGCAGGAAAAAGGTGAACCTTGCGGGTGACACTCTCTTTGAACGCAGTCACTAATCAGGATGCGGGATCTCTCGTGCCTTATCTATATGGACGAGTGTACCGTAGATACAGACCCAGCATGTTGTAATCTGGTTCGGTGCGGATGATGGGGCGTTCCCACGCGGGCTGCTTTTGGCAGTGACCTTATTCATCACGTGTTTCGAAAGCGAAAAGGACCAGAACGCCGAGAAAACTACTGAGACAATGCTATGTACGGTTTTGAGAAGAAGAAAAGCAACGGACGTCGCAGTCTGCTACTAAAAGCAGCCGCGTGACACGCCAACCATCCGCAGGCGAACAAGAACTATACAGGACGGGGTTTGCTTGTAAAGGTTGGCGGTCCACACCTTGCGAGACATTCCAGGTTAAAATCGGATTTGATACAATAGCGCTGCCTGAAACGAAAGATAGTAATCTGTACAGAAAATGATGAGGAAATTTCTCTGTTAAAGTTCTGGCTCACCGCTGAGTTCGTTAGGACAAGGACGTCAGAAAGAGGTAACAAAAAGGGTGAAGCATAACAAGCTTGCGTAGTTAGGGCGGATTATCGAGATGCGTTAGGGAGGGGCATTATGAATTGCCGCCGGATGTCTGTGAGAAAATGCAGATAAAGGGTTAGCGCTTCAGTATTCTTCCAGTAGTTATTTCATTCTGTTTAGCAAAATGGCGACGTTGGCCATTCTGAGTCCGATGATGACTCTGCGGAAGTTTTCGAAAGGCAGCCTGACCTGGATTGGAATCAATTAGGTAATTGGTTGTTTCAAACAATTCGGTCTATCAGATACAAAGCAGTGGTTGTGGGTAAGACGTAGGTTACGCAGCTGGTATTCAATAAATGTTTTTTGTTTACGTACTCACAGCGGGTTTCACGCACTCCCACTTAGCTTCTGGTGCGCAGTCGCTGGCTGGAAGGGCCGGGGACATTGGTTGCTGAATTCCTCGATTCATCGATGTCTCTCTGCGCAGAAAGTCAAGTTGCTTTTAGCAGGAGCTATTTTTTCGGATTACTTGTAACACGAGAATCTGATCCCACTGCGCTGGTGGACGTCGCGTGCGACGTCGCGCCCGCAAATGACGATGGTTCCAGGTAGTAATGGCGACAACAGGCAGTTCAGAACTGAAAATAGTTATGAATGTCTACGATGACGGGGTGTGAATGAAGTGTGTTCCAATCGACAGATTAACACGATAAAAAAACGTCGCGCCCATCGCCGCGCGCGGTGAAGCGGCAAATTACGATTCTCTTGTCCGTCTCCATTTTGTTTTACAATTGACCAGACAACAAGAGGACAGTTCTCACCAAGTTGAGACGTGCAATCAACCGGGGACTGGCAAAACAATGGATAAAGTACAAAATGCCCTCCCCCCCCGCTCCTCCTCCCATACTATACATTGGTCATAAGAGAGCGCAGACCACACAAGAGACTGTCGATACACTTCTCACCCCTACTGCATGGTAACTAAACATAGGTAGGCAGCCGCTGTCACGTTTAAATTAAGTACGCAGCCACGCCCTCCGCGTTTCAGTGGTATGATGTATACGTAGTTGTCGCCTGTTACTGACCACTTTCTCTTCCATTTAGACGCGAATGCGTGGTCAATGCTGGATGCGTTAGTTGACGATGGCGATGGACGTGTGCTAGAGCGGCTTCTCGATCAGAAGGATTATGCCGCTGCGTTTATGCTCGCACGTGACAATGCCAGTCTCACTCGTCTTGTCACTGAGAGGTACATTGCAGGTGAGCGGATTTCTTCCGATCTGTGCCTCTTCTTGACTACTCTGAAAGTTTCAGAGCAGTTATCAGCTTCGCAACGGCTTCTATCCTTGATAGCTACAGAAAGCTTTGAGCAGCTCATTGAAAAGTTCCCCCGTGAGCAATGGTCTCGTCTATTGGCTCTGATCTTGGCAAGAAGTGGTCGTGCTCAACTCATCCACATCATGCGGAAGTTAGCCACGAAATGGGCTGGCGATGGAGGTAAGACTCTTCAATACACATTTCTGGCCTGGGTGTTCAACTAAGGTTATGTAGTTATTCATACTGTTCTTCCCTCTCTTAACCAAAGGGATGCTTCGGATTAAAGTTGTGACTCTGCTCGCCATGCTGAATAGAGCAGTGCT